TTCAAGTTTAACCTGAACTACATAGACAATTTGTCTTTCACACAAAGCAAAGCAAAGCAAAACAAAGCAAAACAAAACAAGCTATGTGTTGACGCTAGCGAGAAGAGCCCTTGCCTGCTAGCACTTCTTGTCCTGGTTTAAGCTCCACACATTCCCTCCCTTCCCCAAATCAAAATTATATATCGAACTTTAAATGCGGCCACAATGCCAAACCGCATAAGGAGAGTAAAGACATATTCAGACGCGCCCCTCCAAATGGCAGAACTGTTTGGAGTCAAACAGCAGGACATTGAGAGGATAAGAGCTGGCATCAAGGCGGTTCTTGTGGAAAAACCTCAGGGGCTGGCATCAAAGCGCAACTCGCCTTTGTTGACAGGACAGCTCCTTTTGAGCTATCTGTCTGTTCACCAACATTTCATAATACACAAATACTCTTACTGAAGCACACGTATAGGATGGTTGATGGTGGAAAACCTCAAGAAATTCTCCCAGACCATGTCAAGCAAGCCACTGCAAAGAGCAAAGCGGGCACTCGACCAGAGGCCCAGTTTGTACAGCCTGCCACAGGAAGAGGCACGGGAAGCCCTACAGGCCCTCACCTCCTGGACGCACTTCAGGGACAGCTACAGCCCTTTTTCTTGGCCCTTCCAGCACATCTCACTGAGGCTCTCCTAGTACTCGTCGAGGTGGTCGGGTCGCTGAAGAGCACCTGGTACCACAGCTTGTGGACACATGGATGTGTGCAGGCTGTGGCCCGGGTAGATGAGCAGCTGGTACACAGTGCAAACACCTCTAGCCCGGTCACGTCGGGCGCCACCAAAGAGCTCTGTCCACATACAGGAGGAGGGCTCCTCGGAGAACACCGGCGGGCAGGCAGGGCTCTAGCTGCCAGTTCAAGGAATACGGCTGCTGGCGCACTGCGCGCAGGTCCTGTAAGGAGAAGAGCCCGGCCCAGCTGCAACCCTTGCCTGGTGGCTCGGACTCCGCACTTGTGTCCCACACTTCCATCTCCTACGCAGCCGCTCCCCAGGCGCTCAGCACAGGCATCGAGACGGCTGCCAGTGCACCTGCAGGCTTCCCGCGCCTGTCCTGGCCGTGCTCCACCGGAGCCCCGGGCTGTAGGCTGGCTCTGTGGGGACTCGAGGTCTGGGGGCGGGAGCCGGTGAGCTGCCAAGGCGCCTTCTGCTTTTGGAGGGATAATGGCCAACTTGCAGGCCTCGATTTCCTTGCAGGCCGCGATGAAGACAAACTC